TTAACAAGTGGCATTACTTTTCCTGGTGCATTGTGGGATACTGGAGTGCATGAATAGGGTGTAACAGCTGTAGCTCAGCATTGGGACAGACAGCGTGCAGCGTGTTTTGGACACAGTGTCATGTGGGCTTTCCAGTCACGGTGCAGAGGTCCAAAAACAGTTTCAGGTTCTGGTCTGGAAAACGTAACTAAGAAGAAAATCGGCCGTGGGCTGCACCGGTACTTTATGGTGCTGGTTTTGGTTGTTTGGTCGAGTTATTCCAGTTGAGAAAACACGTTTTGTGCCGCTTACTTTCAGTTGAACATGTCCTGGAGCGACATTCTGCCACACAGTCATTCCTACGACCTGCAGCTGAACTCATTCATTTTTTCTCCAACAAATTTCCCAACAAACCACGAATCAAGTACAAGAATCGTGATTTATTCTGTTGTCAAGTGGCCCGTTTTCTCAGCGTCCACATCGAGCCGCTGCACCTCCCTCCGTCTCCGCCTGCAGAGTCCTGGCCAGCACATAATTGTCTAAGTGCTTCTGGATGGCAGCGGGCTATTTGGTCATTAAGGGGCCTATTAAGTCATTAGTGCAACAGTGGGACTGCCGTCTGCCTCCCGACAGGACCAGATGATCGGCCCGATACGTGTTGCCTCGCAGTTTTCCACATATTTGCGCAGGTAATTATAGCTTAGATGTGAAACACCCTCAGATGTCACGCTTAAAAGAGGGAATACACGTCGCCAGCACACTTTAAAGGTGATCTCCTCCACCTCCTTCTCCTCCTCCCACCTCTTTTTCCACTCGGGTGTGGATGTGTTGATTTGTGCGGATGAGCAATGGGTTAGCAACGGGACAGCCGGGGCCTCGGGACACGTCAGGGAGAAAGATCGGGAGCGAGAAGACGGGAACAGGGATCCAAAAGAACGTGGAGGTCAGAGGAAACAAGAGCAGAGTGTCGACACAGAATTGCTTTTTCCATCAGTCAGTCTCTGCGGCCAACACATCCCTTCAAACCCAAACCTACACACCCGTCACCTAATGTAAATATTTGGGGAATGGGTAAGGTTGGATGTTGCTTAATTCCTCCCCTTAAAGATGTCCTGTTTAGGTGAACATCGTCCAAGGAACACAAAGCAAGGTCTTTTACATGATTTGATATGACGCACGAGAGTCTTATTTTGATTTCCTTTCTGCTGCTCCTCTTAGAAACGCTTGCCCAGCCTTTGCAGACTTTCATTACCCTGGGCGCTCAATATTATATTAACTGCTTACCATAAATGCTCATCAAGTAACGGCCGTGCATCGCCAGAACCCTCTGGATCTGCACGGAGACAGACATTCCCCGCTGGGTACGCTGCATTTTACTGTTTTCAAATCATTTTCGAATCACTGATTTGTATCTCATGGCCGTATATTTTAGTGGGTTCAGTATGAATTGGAAAACCAAACACAAATCAAATTGAATATCATATAAAGTAATAGTGACTTATGGAAAACACAGACTGTGTGGGTCTAAGCACAGCTACAGGGAACGTCTGAGCCCAGACAGAACCGCTGTGTGTAAACTCAAAGTGGTTGCTATCCTCGCACCGTGTACTTTTTCATTACATGTTTTCCTGCAGAAATTGGAAAAAGCAATTGTCGTCACATTGCACATTACTTTACCATGAAGAAATGCATTGTTGTGATATTTTGGTCACGTCTCCGGGCCTGAAGCGCCCCACTGCGACCGCAGCATGAGGCTGCAGCGTCAGCACAGCAGAGCGCCTCCGGCTGAGGGATGGCAGAGGAGCTGGCTGATTGAAATAGACACATCAGACTGTCACTGAGGCTGTAAACAGGGAACCTCCTGACCGGGAGGCGGACGCCGTCTTGCTCAGAGGAAACCGGATTCTGTCGCCCACCATCCTCACACCTCTTAACCCCTCTGCGGCCCCAAGGTGGCAACTCTGGGGTCCAGCGACTTTCAGCCGCTCCGCTGCACAAGTCATTGCACAAAGCAGGTCGAGCTGATGGAAACAACCTGGTCAGAGGTTGAGCCAGGAGCTGTATCAGATCGGGCGCTGGCTGCCTGCTCAGCAGTGCCCAGACTGACCCCAGCAGACTGCCAGTCTCCTTACCGCTCTGCTGCTCGTGGCTCCGCTACCACCTCCCGCCGTGACCCGTGACCTCTGCCCGGGAGAAAGGCGCCACCGTTATGATGTAATTTCTCTCCGACATGGGCCAGTGGCCTCGGCTGCAATGCGACCCGGGGAAAATAAATACGGGGTGTTTACTTGCTGGGAACGAGAGCGGCTCGCGGGCTGGAGCCGCCCTCCAGTTTCCCAAAAGCAGCTTTTGCACAAGAGCCATTTTTGTTCCACGTCTTAACTACAAAAAGGAACAACATCAAGGTGCAGATAAGCAGCTATTACGCACTACCACGGTACCACTGTGGTGCTGCTGAGACTGATGAGACTGTTACACAGGACTGTTTCTCAGCAGATCTGCATCCTCTGAGTCATTCCTGTATATGTGATAGAAGCATTTACTGGAGTTAAAGTGCACAGGGTAGTGCTGACTCCTGGTTGTGCAGCTTCCACCCGCTGGGCAGGCGAGGCTTTCTGCAGCCTTTTCCAATCTGTACTCAGAGCATTTGGCCCGCCCAGCTGTCAGCCTGCATTGGCCTTCAAAGAACCGGAGAAGAACCATGCACCATGACCTGCCTTTGTTTCTGCAGCCTCTGAGCTGCCTCTCACTGAGACATCCACACCTCTGTGATCTAAAGAGACCATGGAGAGGCCTCAGACAGACAGAGCTCTTGTTGGACCACAACGGTCTGAAGAGGGCTCTGGCACACTTAATATCACTCCATCCCTCCCACGCCACCACCACCACCACCACCACCACCACAAACTGAGGATGTCTACTTTAAAACACCCGCTGCTCCTCCTCCTCCTCCTCCTTTTCCAGAGAGCATGATATATTTGCTGTACCTCTTTTTCATCCAAAAACTGCTTCCTCTGAGGTCATGAGTCACCCAGCTACACGCAAACTGTGGAAGCCGTACAAACCAGCGCTTTCACGACCTCCCAGTGGTCCCAGCTCCACTGCACTGGAACCACTGGGACCAGGTGCCTTTGAGGAACAGCACGACAGGTGATAAATCACCAGCTTCTGAGACCCTCTCTATGACGTCACCGTTAGAGGATGCTGTAAGCAGCTAGTTTTTTATTGGGGGAAGGTTTGGGAGCGTTCCCGATTCAGATCTGCCTTTGCTCATGTTGCAGATTAGCGTTTGTCTCGCTGCTCTTTCAGCTCCACCGCTGCCTTTTTAACTCCGTCTCTATCTCTGACTTTCTCTTCTCTTTCTTCTGATTCCCACCCACGCGTTTTCCTCTCCGGCTCTCGGTCCATCCATCCTTCTGACCTCATCGCTGCTACAGTCATCGTAGAGGGATCCAATCAACCATAGTGTTCAGATTAAATCGCAAATTATTATAATTGAGAATAATGGTTTCCATGTCAGTTTCAGTTCAGCTCCGAATTGTTCTCATACATATCTGGAAACAAGGAGGCTGGAAGCTCAGAACTCCAGCCGCTTGTGCTCACGGTGGGCAGACATTCATGTTATTCCAAATCAAATTCTGACTGAAACTCTTTTCTGGATTTGAACACCTGTCTTGTAAAGATTTTACTGCCTGTTGTGAATTTAGTGCATTCTACCTTTCACAGAAGAATGGATTTTAAAGATTGGAGCCAAATAGAAGTTCTCCAGAAAAACAAACACGGTCCAAAGCTGGACTTGTGCGCGTTGGGATGTAATTTCCAGCAGCCTTGTTTTTAGGAGCAGTGCCAGCTGCACTAGATGCAGCTCAACATTAAAAGCAGTTAGACTATAGACAGGGTACGTGAATCCCTCATGATAATCAGAAAAGGCCATGTCTACATTGCAAAGCCCTTCCAGACATTAGCACTTGTCCTCTTCATTACTGAGCTGCAGCGTGTGCCTCGCCGAGCTTATTTCTAGGGGCAGTAAAGCTCTCAGGCATGTGCAGGGCATGCAGTGCGACTTTGACAGCGTAGTTAGGAGGTGCTGATGAAAGAGGAGAGGCTGGAAGCCCACTGCCTCTCAAATTAGCTCCGGAGCCCTCCGTCCTGTCACATGGAGGTTTAGGCCGTCGCAGATTCTGTTGCACCCCATCACGAAGCGCCCGCATGGAGCTCTGCACGCCTGCAGAGGGGCCTTCGTGTGTGGCGTGACACGCATCCCAAGCACATGTGTTGCGTTGCGACGGTTCACGGATGCACATGCTGATATATTTTTCTTCTCAGTGTAGATCAAAGGTTGGATTAGGACGTTAAACAGAACAGAGCATCTTCGTCTTACTGTCGAGGCTCATCAGGGACTTTTCTCCGACCTCCCACAGCCTGAGAAATGGCCTCCAGCCTCCTACTTACGTGACCTACAACGGGCTAGATCCTTAAATAGACGCACGTTTCCTTCATTCCTTCATCAGCATACAAGAAATTAATGATGAACATACTCCCCGTGTTTTGCTCATCAGTAATTAGGCTGTTTCGCTCATCTTTCAGTCTCCGGTTACAGGACGAGCGTCGCAGTCCCGCTGAGAGCCAGACAGACGGTCTGCTTTAATGAAAGAGAGAGCTCTGTGCTCCTCTCACCTTCTTTAATCTGTTTTTCGTGTCCGTTGCACAGCCTGACACCCTTCCAGCAGATTCAGCTGTTAGCGTGTTTGTCTAGTGAGGTGGAGGGACATCCATAACCCTAAAGCTGTCTCCAGCAGACAGCTTTTAATCGCCTTTTTTCCTCCTCCTGTTGTCTTCTCCCACATTTCTTCGAGAGAAACGCCCCAAATCTGTGCATACACTTAACTTTTAGTGTGGATTATGAAGCCCAACGAGCTTTTTTACCACAAACTTTACATGAACTCCTGTGCTCTCTCGGCTTTGCTTGTTCTTCTCTGTGAGAGAATCAAAGGCCACGAAAAAAACATGTTCATTCCTACCTGAGAGAAATTGAGCCCGTTGAGGGGGTGACACTGCTCCTCCACTCGCTCCACCGCCCCCGTCGTCTTTCCCATCCGCTCAGCCTCTTGAGCCAAGAACAGGTCCAGCACCGGTGTCCCTCTGGACCGGACGTCCCACTCCGTCAGGGAGTTCACCATCAGCATCACCCACACCGGCCTCTTCCTCTCCCAGTTCCCTGCGATGGCGTTGAACAGGTAGTCGGCGTACAGGCCGCGCCCTCGCTGGTCCGCCGTCATCCAGTAAGGCATCATGTGCTTGACGTAGTCCAGGTGGCGCTTGAGGCGGCGGTACAGGTCTCGAGGTAGCAGCGTCTGCAGGTTCTCTCCGTGGGGAAGCAGCTGGCAGCTGGTCAGTTTGGAGATGGTCAGCGGGTCAGTCAGGTCCAGCTCAAAGAAGACGTTGTTGCTGTTGCGGAAAGCCTGCTTGGAGCTGTTGGGGATGAAGTCCCAGACTCGGGTGTAGGGCACGTGGATGGTACCAAACAAGTAGGACGGTGGGTGAGGAGGCGCTCGCTTTATTCTCCACAGGAAAGAGTTCATGTCGCTCTGCTGCAGAGGAAGAAGGAAAAAAATTAGATGGAAGTCAAGATTTTGAGAGCAAAAGGAAACAAAAATACCAGAACCGTCGTATTAGAGCCATTCGACTCGCCTCAAAACTAAAGCTGACACATTCTTCCTCTATTGTGGTTTACTGGCTCATATAGGCCCAGGTCAACAAGTTAAGGATTGAAATACCATTTTAAGACGCCGGCGAGGGGAAGCATGAAGTCTAGTCTGCTCGGGGCTCTGCTGCGAGGGCTCGCTGCTGTGGTTCAGGCTGGGAGTTTATAGAGGGGCCTTCTGGACTGTAAACAGACCCCCGTGTATTGTTGAGGTGCATACCTCGGTTGCCAAAGCCTCTTCGGGCCTGGGAAGCATTTTCAAGGCTGCAGTGCAAATATACTGCAGTGGAGCTCATAAAAGCCAAAAACCTGAAAGAAAACCTGCTCTCCAGTCTGACCTCACGGTGATACTTTTGTTTGTGAAATGTTTTGCGGCAGCCACACGGAGATGTGATGCTGACAGGCTGAAGTGCGGCGCTGTTTGTGTCTTCCATGGTTTATATTACAGGAAGCGTTTGTCTGTTGTGGTTATCTTTATAGAAAACAATGTCAGGATGGAAATTAAATAATCACAGCCATTCTAAACGAGCATAAGGCCTCTACTGCATTTAAAATATGGTTCTTGTTAAGCGCTCTGCAAAATGTGCTGTGCATGTGCTGCGACTTTGATGCTGGCATTATCCAAATATGAAAAAAGAATTAGCTTTTATAAACAATATCAAACTGCTGGCTTCTGAGACACACTGTAATCAGGCATTTGAGGGATGAAACCCATTACTGTAAAATAAAGTTATTCTTAGAAAATGTTTACTTCTTAAATTTAATCAAGATTCCCCTCAGCTGTGCTCCAGTTCTGTCTCACCCTGCCAGCGCTGCCTTTGTCATTCAAACGTTTTTTTTCTCAAATAGCAGCCAAAAGTGAAGTAAAGTCGTTCTGTGGGATGTTCTCTTATCATCCTAATTAATTGCAATGAACACAGAGTCATTTCTGGCACCGCCGCTGCTCCCCTGCTCGACAGAATAAATCAGAAAGTGCCACATTTGATTTCAGAGCAGCCTTTGCGTTCACGCTGAAAAGTTTAAACAGTTTCAAGGCTTTCTAACTCAGTGTTCACGTTGGCGGGGCCACCAGGTCCTGCGCACTAACGGGAACAGCTTTGGACGCATTAGTGCGCTCCGCGATTCTTCTGACGCACAGAAACAGACGATCAAATGCGCGCGAAGGCCCATGCACCCATAAATGAAGATTTATTTATTCTTTTCGACCAAAAAAGGTGGAAAAGTGTGGTCGTTTAAGTGCCGAGGAGAAGCGAGATCCCCACGGCTCAGGCTGCGTGGACTTTTCTGGAGAGCCTCGCCGCGCAGGGCTCCTTTTTATGGGGTAATTACTCCTAACAGAAAACAGAGACCACTGAACTGACGCATTACAAATCACACGGAGGAGAAGGAGCCGAAGCCTTCAGTCATCTCTGACAACAGATCCATTATCGGACACTAATCAAACCTGTGCTCCAGCTCCTTCATGAGACCCTCACATTCACACTCAGCGCGTCCACTGTCACAATTCAAACGTTTCTGAGCTCATATATTTTTCCAGTGTTGTGATCTTTTATTTCCAGCAGCAGGGAATCGTGTTGGATCTGATTTCTGCAGTCATGATTGTCATTAATTCATTTTTCCCCCACACATGTCGACAAATACGCACAGAGGGCTGACGGAGAGTCCGCTGATGTGGAGTGTGTCTGCTCTCTGCTCCATAACTCTTCTACCAATGCGCCCCCGAAGTGTTTCAGTGAAGGCCGAAACGCGATCGCTTCTGAAAAGGTCAACGAAACTTATTTTTCCAAATGAAGTCAAGTCACCCGTGGGTGTTCCCCACTTGCGTTTTGTCACATAAACAGCCGTAAAGTTGGCGAGCAGAGACGGTTTCTGCTGGCAGCATCCTTCCCTGTGAAAGGCCTGGATCTAAAGCTGCAGTGGAGCAGAGCGGAACCAGCCTGTGCTCACATCCACCCACCAGGCCCAGAGTAAGAATTATTAATATTATATTAGTATAATATTAGTATTATTATTACTGTTCAGTTCATTTTAATCCTTGTGTCTGCAGCCACACTTTGTTTCTTCTAATTATTTCTGTGTTATAATAAATGGAATTCACTTTTAAAGTTATGACATTATTTAATTATGACATTTTAATCTAAGGCGATGAAGAGCTTCTAACAGACCAACATGTCCTCCACACACACACACACACACACACACACACACACACACACACACACACACACACACACACACACATGACTGCCAACATTATTTAACTGTCACCTTCCGAAATTAACAAATGCTCAAGTTTATTTTCAGTAAACTTTCCAACTAGAGCTTGTCTAAATAGTTTGGGTTTTTTATGAAGTGTCTCAGTCGTGCAGACTTTAAGGAAACTTGTCAGGGTCAGAGCTCGCTGTATCCAGCAACATGCGTCTTTCTCAGGAGAAGCGAGGTGTCCCTGACTTGGGAGAAGTGCCCCAACACGACTCACCGACTTTGGTGCGTCGCACTGCCTCGGTCTGGCCGCTCGCTCTGCGCCCCAGGGTGCCACAGTGTGCAGGAGAGCGCTCAGGAAGAGCCAGCTGAAGCCCGGCACACAGACCATGGTGTCGAGGTGACGGTCAGCTCTCAGAGGACCTTTATCTCTCTCTTCAGCCTGTCTTCTCTTCTTCTCTCTGCCTTCCCTTCCCACTGTCTCCTTTGAAGTTAAAATAAAAACCGTTACCGGTGGCCTCTGGGCTCACATGTGCTGCTCGGCTGGAGGACCATTCCGCCTCTTCGCCATGTCCCGACGCACTCCACCGCTTCCTCACTTCGGCTCGTTTCTGTTTTGAAACTTTTCTCTCGCCTCCTTCCAACTCGGCGCAGTCCTGCAGCAGGAAACTCTTTGGAGAGTTTGGCTCCTGCGAGTTTGGAGCGTCTTGACTGGGAGAGAGGAGGGAGGTGGGACGATCCGGGTACCCCCACCCCACCCCGGTACGCGCACGCACACATCCCGGCTTCGTGCTGTAGGAGGAGGGAGCGCAGGTTCAGGGAGGCATGACAGGTTTGCGTGAGTAAAGCCCCAGCAGGCAGAAAGAGCGCTGGATGGCAGCTTCTGCATCACGTTTAGATCCCAGATATCCTCATACAGTGAACACAGCTCATCCAGCAGCCGGCTGATGGGTTCTTTCATGTGTTCTGTGGGTTCTTTTGTTTGTTTTTACTAAAGTGCTGTTGGCAAAAGAGCTCAGAATGTTCCTGTAATGTTCTTATAACATCCTGCAGTTGGATGCAGCACGTTGTGATCTCCACATATCTTGTGTTCATGAACATCTAGAAGCAGCTGGTTGTTTCCACTCAGTAAATGCACTTGATTGCATTTAATTAGCATTTTATTGGGTTTTATGAAACTCCTGCAGCTCCAAGAAAAGCATTTCTTCCTTTGCCAAAGAGCTTCAGTCTCCACATGCTCTCTGTATGTTCTTGTTTTAAGCTCACCCTGCGTATGTGGGACGTAACCAACAGGAACCTACAGCATGGTCGAAGCGTTTTGTTACAAGCAAAGCTCCTGTACGCCAAACAGAGCCCAGAATGTTCCTGTAATGTTCTCACAGCGTCCTGTAGCTGGATGCAGCACGATAGTTTCTGTTTCACATTTTGATCTCCAGATATCTTCGTGTTCATGAAACTCATCAGGCAGCCAAGTTAAACTGAATTAATGCACTTGATTGCATGTTTTCTATCTTCTGTTGGTTTCATGAAGCTGTTGCAGCTCCGTCACTTCCTTCTTTGCAGAAGGGAGCTTAGCTCGTCAGTCTCAACATGTTCATTGTATTTCCCTGTTAACACTCTGCTCTGCGGACTGTGAGCCATAGAAATAGTACAGACCTACAACATGACTGGAGCACAAACTGAGAGCAGCGCTGCAGAGCCTGGAGGGCAGGGGGCGCTCTCAGCGCGGGCAGCCCAGACCTTTGTTTTGCTTGATTTTCAGCAAAGTCATTTCGAAGATGTAAATGAACAATATTTCAAATGTTGCCATGTGCTTCCTCTTCATCAGGACTGCATTCATCTCCGTCCTTTTCTGTTTGACAAGCCTGCAGTTTGTACAGCGGTCCGGTCGAGTCGGACACCCTCAGACTTCACTCGCTTGATTAATGGTCACAAATAAACAGGCCTCAACAAAGACAACTGTGACGAGTGTTTTGTTTATTTTCACTCCGGTGATTTTCTTGAAGATGTACGATGTGGATCTGAAATGAGCGCTCGTGTTGAGAGAAAGCGGCCCGCCCTGCTGCCATGTCAGCGCTCCTCTGCCGTGACCTCGGTTATTGTCTGAGTGGCAGACAGTGTGACAGAGTCAAGTAGTGGAAATTTATGACGGGAACCCCTGGAACAAGTGGCACCGGGCCTCCTCCCCTGCAGGCCGGCGGCAGACAGACCTCAGACAAGCGACTCTTTGTCTTCAGCCATGTCCTCCCGTCCTCTCCAGCGCTCTGTGTTCAGCTCTGGGCAGCTCCGACTGTCCCTCTGTTGTGCTGTTCCACACAGACCAAGCACTTTGTGCTGAGCCTCTTTGATCAGCTCGTCTTTTAACCAAGTTTCACGTTGTAAAACCGGGACTCCTTCTGCCCTTTGACTCCTGACGGACTGTGTTTTTACTGGGTGCCATTGAAAGGCAGGAAAGTCACCGTTTCTTTGTTTCATGCATCTGCACACTCGAGCGCAGCACATGAAGGAGCGACGCAGCAGCAGCAGCAGCAGCACGTTGATCTGATCTAATCTTCATATCCTCGCTGCTCTTTGTGGCTCCTGCTCTGAGACAGGTGTGGGATTTCAGCTAGCGGTTTCATCTGCTCTAATATGGCCACCTGTGGACTCAGGTACCTGCTTTAAACCACACCTTGCAGAAGGCTTCTCTTTGAAGGAGCTTTTTCACATTCTTGGCCGGTTAGAAGAGGGGGGCTTATGAGCGGCTGGCTGCAGGAGATTCCTGGACGGGGGCCAGCGCTTACAGCATGGTGCACATATAGCCGGGGACGACAGAAGACTTTAAAGTTAATGTTCTGTTAGCAGATCGCAGAAATGCTCACTCGGAGAACGCACATCTGGGCAGGCGTTAGACGGAGAGAGGGAGGGCCTGCTCCACTTTCAAGGTATTTTTGAAATGTTAAACAAAGCGTGTCTGCAGCGGGACCCTGCTAATACGCTTCCCAGCACTTTTACTGGCCTTGCATATTTTTCCTGAATATGTCTATTACATGCACCACGGGCAGATAAAGAGGAACGCATGCAGAAAGGGAGGGAGGCTTTGCTCATGTCTGTGGCCCTGCAGCTCTGAGGATCCTGTGTCTACTTGTCCTTGTGGCTCCGCGGCTGCCTGTCTGTCTGATGTTGTGCAGAAGTCCTGCCACAAAACCCCAATATTAACTCACTGCCTCTGCCTCAGCATAATGACTTGTCTTCTGGCATGTAATGCTAGAGATTTTACTGCTTTATATATATATATATACTACCAATGCACATGCACCACAAGAAAAAGGATGCATCCACTGAATTCTTACCATGCAGAGGAGTGGAAGTTGGGGCAAGCTGTTTTGTTTGTTATGTACACAGGGCCCCCTAGTGGTGTGAAGGAGAAGTAAGACGATGCACAAAAGGTAGGAGAGTGGGATGGTTGACCCCAGGCCAGAGAGATAGCGCTTCAAAGAAAATGTGAGCAGGATGGATATGAAGGAGTGGCTCGTAGCTTCAGGCAGCCATACTTCAGACTGACAGCGAAGGCCACACTGTGTCTCTCTTTTCTGTTCGCTCTGCTCTCAGCTGGACAACACTCACTCCGTTACCTCCACCCGCCTCTCGCTCAGGCTCCAATATCCTCTGTCCTGCTTTGAAGATGTCAAGGAATAATATTGACTCAGTCTCTGGTGAAATGTTATTGTGGTTTCCCTTTCCGGACGTCCTGAAAAGAAAAAGGAAAGGCTAGGAAGTGGTAGAGAAGAAGGAGGACAATGTTATGAGGTGGAATATATCAAAGAATGCTGGGGGGGGTCTGACATGTATCTGTTTAAACCAGGTAAGATAGATGAAGATAAAGTCTGCCAACTGATCTGGGTTTTGTTGGTTTTAGAATTTCTGCCACTGTCTGCGGGACATGTAGAGGATGTTTAGCACGTCTATGTTAAGCTGTTTTTCCAAGCAGGGACGTCTCCTGCAGCACGTCAACACATGCAGCCGGTGGCTATCTGTCTGTCTTCATCATCCACAGTGAGCTAAAGCAGGACGGGGAGATGAGAGGAAGAGATAAAATGACAGAGGTCACAGTCAGGGTTGTTTTTCTAGGAGCACTGTCTCACATATTGATTCTGTTTTTTCTCTTTTGGTCATTGTTTTGGGGTGAAGTCAGGAAAGATGGACACAGATCTGAGCTGAAGGGATTGTGAGTTACAGTGAGTGACAAAAAACATTTAGTTTTATTCAGATCTGCACAGAAAACCAGCCAATCTGCACATCTGCAAGGCTGTGATTTACAACACATCAAACATCAGCAGCTATTGTTTCACAGTGATGCAATTTCAAAGCAGAAACTCAGAAAAGCTCAGAGCAGAAGCCTGATGAAGATCTTCTTAAAATAAAAAAAAAGATGTGGGTCAAGTGTCTCTGCAGGGAGAAATAAGCCACGTTTTCATATTTGCTGGCAAACCTTCAGGTACCAGTGACTGATTCCTGATTATTACTGCCTGCTCCTCTCACACAGACAACATGGGTCAGTGAATATAGATATATATGTATTTGGAAGCAGACACCTGGTTGAGATACTTCCATCTGCTTCTGGCTGCATTCTGGATGCACAACATTTCCAGTGAAGGCACTGCCAGGTGTGTAGGACTGCAGTCACACAGACCTATGGGATGTAACTCCACAGTTTCCTGAGGCACTGGATGGTACAATGCATACATTTCAACCATAGTAAGTTTTAAAAGTACATTTTTGTGGATGTAATAGCTGGCGCGCATCCTTTCAGAGCTGGAGACAGAGCGAGGCAACAAACTAAAGACATTGTCCAGCATTCTGAGAGATACCTTCACTAGCTTTCTAGTGCAGCGGTGGATGGGAGGATGAGATGTTATTCCTCTAAGAGCAGATTATGCATAAGTTTAAACATCAGGTATGTATGAAGTTTGTATCTCTGGCATGAATGCAGTGATGATGATCCCCAGGCTTTATCTAACGCTCTGAGGCTGTGTTGGTGGAGTCACCAGTCGAGCCTGATTGTGACCAGGTTCTGATGCACTAAGACGGATGAGACTAAAGCCCAGCGTGTCCAAAGAGCTTCGCAGCAGAGAGCTGATGCTTCTAAACTAATCACTGACTCGCTTTTTTGACAGAGGGGTTTGTGGCGGAGCTAACTCATAACGCCCAGATATTTAAAGTGTGCCGCTGGTTTGGTAACGTCGCCATAAATAGAACATCAGGGTTACAGTTCTTCACCGTGAAACACATGCTAACTGTTTGGCTGGTGCTGCCAGGCGGGCCAGTCGGACACGCTGGTTCATTGCAGCTGTTAGTTTGGCTGCAACACGTTCTTCAGGTTGTACATGAATAAAAATTACAGTTTTATCTTGGCCAACTGGAGAAAGTTCATTAATATATATACTAAATACAGTTATTCCTGAAATAGGCCCCTGAGGGACTCCTACGGTGCAACTAACACATAGCTTTCCATTAAAAGAGCTGCTCGTATCAGCAGCTACAGACCAAGTCCAGTCATGTGTGTTAAGCTGACTGGTTTCTGGCCTCACCTTCACATTAACAGGCAGATATGAGGATGATAT